TCTTTGTTCTACGGAATAGTCGATATGTACTAAGACTTAGGTACCACAGCTGTTAACTGTAAGTATTTTTTATGATATTAAGCGACAGGACAAACAAGGCGTCCGCCTGGTGGTAAGCGACACGCCTATCCAAAACGGTTGCAATGCCACTCAAAGCTTTAAATCTACCACTGCGCCCGTCACCCTGAAACATAAGTTGACAAATCCCATGTGCCTATAATTCCGCCAGCACCCTTACCCTTCAAAACCGGAACGGAGGAATCACATTACTGCTTCAAGGTAGAAATAGATAAAAGTGGCAGTACTTTCCTGGACGAATCGTTCACAAGAAGCCCTACTGCTACTTAGAACTAATTAATTTACATTTTTTTATTTTATTTATTACAACAATAACACTGTGTTCACAACATTGTAAACACAACAATTATATGTATTGACGGCAATCTCAAAATACGTAAAGAAAATACATACACAAGAAATACCATAGGAACTTATTTTTTTTAATAATTGGAAAATTAAAAACAAGTATTCCATAATATTATATTATTAAAAGTCTAGAATAGTCCTTCTGCAGTCTCATCTGGAATTTCATCCTCTGTGTCATCCAAATCGCTTTCAGATTCTAAAATTTTTTCTTTATATCCAGTCTCCATTATGTACCTGTTGCCAAAGAGAATTACTTTGTTTAGTTAGATACTTTGTTTATATTATGTTCGTTAATAAAGTTAATCTATCAGCTATTATTTTTGTAAATACTGATTTGTTGCACCGCTTAACCCCTGCTCCGTAACGTGTTGACTTTTAAACTAAACATTCAAAACGGGACTATATATATCTACATACAAATCATTTCTACAAGACAGAATATACGGGTAAACAGATCACATTATCGACAGCCACCATGCTTGTACTTTAATATTTTATAATGCAAAGCATACTGCACGGAATAAAACTTACAGCTTAAAAGCAAAAAAGAGGAGGCTCTCAATTCGACAGTGTGTATTTTTTTTTGTATGTATGTTACGCGACAACTCGGCATTTGTGAACCGATTTTGATAATTTTTTTGTAGGAAAGAGAGTACCTCAGATATAGCCCCATTTAAATTAGAAGAAAATATTCCACCTCGAAGGGCGGCAAACTAGGGGTTGAATGACTATTGAGGACAGTTTGTTTAGTACTCGTTTTGAATGTTTCGCTTTGAACCAAACTTTAGCTGAGTTGTGTATGTGTATATCGCACTGCTATTACAATAGTGTTGTAACTCAAAATGTGCGAAATTCGAGATTATACTACCGCTGAACATAAAATTTTATTCTCTACATGTCAATAAAACCATCGTTAGAATATTGCAAGACACAATTAAAAAACATCTACTTAACTCAAAATGAGACAAACTTTTTGTGAGCTAGTCTTGGACAAAACTGTCGTTACTCAAAAAATGAATTTTTTTTCCCCTTTTATTTTTAAATATATTTGACAAGTAGGAAATTGTTTAAATATCTGTAATAAAAATTAACCTTTACAAAAATAATAGTAATTTGTCACAGAAAATGAATGATTATTTTCGTTTTTCAACGATTCTGAAAAAATACACTTTTATAGAAAATACACTATAGTATTAACAGTGCTATATGAGCTAAGGCTATTACGCATCAAGCTGCGACATGCGTAGTTACACTTACGTCTATCGTAAACTCTTGCCTCATAATTATTGACCGTGGTAGCCTTGTAGTTCAAGTACTCTATTTTGGACTCCACACACGTAATATCAATACTTAATGTGAAGGTAAGGTATACATTACTACAACTAACTTTTCATTAGACAATAATTCACCAACTTAGGTACCCTAATGTACAATTCGCACACGAAACCTTTGGCATAAAGTTCATTATGGTATGTACAATTCCGGTTCAAAAATTCGTTTTCATTCCGGTTCGCGGCATTATAAATAGTGCCGAAAGGCTTTATTTTTTTAACCGACTTAAAAAAAGAAGAGGTGCTCAAATCCACTATATGTTTCTTTTTTTTTGTATGTATGTCACGCGATAACTCCAGCCGGTTTGTGAACTAATTTTGATTATTCTTTTTTTGTTTGGAAAGTACCTCAGAAGTGGTCCCATTTAAATTTGAAGAAGATATTCCACCTCAATGGGTGACAAACTACGGATGAATATATGACTTTTCAGATCGGTTGTTTTAGTACTCCGTACTGATTATCTGTCTAATAGGAAGACCAACAGCACAATAGCTAGAGACACACTCCGTCCCTGACGATTTTGGTAGGTACTGTAGCGTCCTCCACACGGTGCTCTAACGTGCAGCTGTGTTCGTCCAACATTTAAATACAATTTTTTTAAATAAGAAAATCGTTAGATACACGTGTCTCCAGAGCTCGTAACAGGTTAAAAATAAATTAAATAATAATAATGACAAATGAAAGTCAATTACAGATTCTCACAAATAGGAATATAATAAGGAACCTAGGTGCACAATTTAACTAACGTAATAGGTACTTAAAAAGATAACCGCAATTGCACGTATCACTGTGAGTCAAAGGGCACACACAGTGCTCCAATTTAAAAGTTTATGAACATTGTCATAGTAATCAACTATATTTGTCTTAATTGTGAATTGCTATAAACAAGCCCACTCAACAACGCTCACCTCACACTGGCTCCCAGGGCAGCGATTCCTCCAGTTGAAAGATGATAGTCGCAAGTTCCGTTAACAAGAGTTTCTTTTGATATGAGAGTTTTTCTACGATGACCAAGTGTAAAACATCCTGCTTTAGTTTGGTGACGTAAAAGAGCATCGAACCATCTTTGTACAAAAAACTCTGAGTATCCGTACATTGTGCACATCATTACTGTAAATTGGATTAAATCAATATTTTGGACGTTAGATACATTTTTAGACAACATCACGTACGTTGCTCTGAAAGTAAGTAACTAAAGCATTTATGTTATGGATATCGAAAACAACGACTGTACCACAAACATCCAGACCCGAGAGAATATAGAAAACGCAATTACACAAAAAATAATTGAACATCATGGTGGTAAAATGTCCTGACATTCAATAAAAACTTAATAGAAAACTTGTGGCGGGACGAACAAGTCGTGCGCCTAAGGGTAAGCTACACGCCTGTCTATAACAGTTGCAGTGCCACTCAGAGCTTTAAATCGCAAAGATCTGCGGGGCACTGCCACTGCGCCCGTCACACTGAGACATAAGTTCACAAGTTCCATGTGCCTATAATTTCACCACTTAGTTTTTCTGCATTGCAGTCGGGGATCAATCCCGAGACCTCAATGATGGCGACACCATGGAAACCAGTGTACAAGCCGTCAATGTGTATCGTACCCTTAGAATATTAAGGCCACACATCATCACACATCAAAAGTGCTTTGAACTCGAGAAAGTGAAATATAATATAAACCACATGGATCAAATTATATGTATATAATTATGTGAAACTTTATACTCTCCATTTTAAGCATAAAAAAGTTGTCAATTTTTCGTTAGAAGAAACTTTAAATTTCTCTCCTAAAAAGTTATCATTTTCCAGATGTGGCCTTATTACAGTAAGGTTGCGTACTGTCGGAACCACAGGTTTTTATTATCAGTAAAATAAATTTTGATTTCGAACTTTTCTAAGTTGGGTATTCTAAATAGTTTTAAGTACATAGAATTCCTTAGGTATAAACTATACAATTAGTGTGATTATATGCTGCGTAGTTATTTTAAACTATTTAAATTTGGTATATTAGGACTGTCAGATTATAAACTAAAAGTTGTTTATATTTTTATAAAACTTAAAAAGCCTACTTATTTAAACAATTGTTTTGAAAGTTGTAAAATTTGTAGAACATAACCTGGGTAAATATCTTCCGCGTAAGTTGTTGTAACCAAAATACCATTTTTTGCTTTTTAACTTAAATATATTCTATTTTTATGCAAATTACAGGTTTCATATTTATAATCTCAGTATAGAGTACTAAAAAACGGACCTCAAATGTCATACATCCCCTAATTTATTACCCTTAGAGGTGGATTATTTTCAAATTTAAATGGGACCACTATTAAGGTACCCTCTTTCCAACAAAAAAATCGTCGAAGTCGGTTCATAAATGTTATAACATACTTAAAAAATAGCTCCTCCTTTTTTTAAGTCGGTTAAAAAAATTATACAATGGACAGTCACTTCTACTATGCGATATAGGTAACTTTCTAGAATATGTATTGTAAATTGTTTATAATAACTTACTCAGTTTTGCCTTTTGTCGAATTGAAAACCTCCTCCTTTATTTTGAAGTCGGTTAAAAGTAAGGTAATCACTTAATATTTACTTTCAAACATCGAACTTATAATAAAGATAAAAAGGATATATTTAAGTTAAAAAGCAAAAATGGTATTTTGACTAACAACAACTTCGTGAGAGATATCGATAAAAATCAGTACCTAAATTGAAATATTTATTTTTAATACATTCTGTATAATGATAAGAATACGTCTTTTCACTGACCTTGTTCGAATAATAGATCTAGTAGCTTAAACATATGCATAGCGATGTAACGACCCTCGTCATAAGCTTTATGACAGAGATTCTCGACCAAATGTTGATCCGCCTTTAAGTTTTTTATACTACAGTGGACGCTCATCTTCGCCATAATAAGTAAAAGAAGCCTGTGAAAAATATAAAAAAATACTATATAATAATAATAATAAGTTTGTTTATTTTCTCACCACATTATAGGTACATTGAGCATTATATCAAGGACAATACGTAAAAGCAAGAATTATACTGTGGGAGACTGGTGCCTAAACCAGACGTAAGGTCTGCATTTCAGGTCACCACGACCCACCCCTTGGAAAGTACAAATTTGCAACTTGGAATTATGTACTTGTACATTGACAATTGCGATAACTAAATTAACCTATTTAAATTAAAGGAAAAAATATATAAAAATAAAAAGGAAAAATATAAAATTTTTATTGAATTGATATTCAATTATTTTTGTGAAATGACTCCACTAGTTTGTTATATTTATTAATACAAAGATATTTATATTTAGATATTTATTAACACAAACAAGAAGAACACTTAGGAAAAAATCCTTCGGCCGAATTCGAACCGCCGTTTCCTAGCAAACCATGCCAGACGCTATGGACCTAAGCTTAGTAATGTGAGCATTACTGCGTTCCTGTTTCGAAGGGTAAGGGTGCTGGTGACATCACAGGCACATTTATCACACACTTATCAACTTATGTCTCAGGGTGATGGATGCAGTGGCAGTGCCCCTCAGATCTTTGTGTTTTAAAGCCCTGAATGGCCCTGAACTGTTATGGACAGGCGTATCGCCTATGGGAGGGTTATAAAATTTCACAATATTTTTTTATGATATCAAGTGACGGGACGAACAAGTCGTGTGCCTGATGGTAAGCTTCACGCCTATCCATAACAGTTGCAGTGCCACTCAGAGCTTTAAATCGCAAGAATCTCAGTGACACTGCCACTGCGCCCGTCACCCTGAGACATAAGTGGACAAGTCCCGTGTGTCTGTAATTTCACCAGCACCCTTACCTTTCAAAACCGGAACACAGTAATGCTGACATTACTGCTTGGTGGCAGAAATAGGTAAGGTGGCAGTTCTACTACTAGTGTTGTTAAAAAGAAAACTGAGAAAAATGTATACTATTCCAACAAGCCATTGATAACGGTTCCTATCACGGAGACTGTGCGATGGAATTGCACGATTTAATTCTGCCTTCCCCTTTCCATCATCGGGAGACTAGACGTAGACTAGGGTTCCACCCCTATGTTGTGGATATCACAAAGATTCGCACAAAGCGTTACGCTTCCAATTTTATATGGCGAACGTCTATGGAGTGGAATGCAGACTGTATACCTATTCCCTGAATGGTATAACATGGGGCTTTTCAAAGCGAGATTGGATGGGCATTATTTAGGTGGATGTTTCATCGATGACCTAATCGTCACTTTCCATGAGGTAAGATTGACGTGAAATCTATTTTTTCAAATAACAAAAGAGTAGCTAAATACCTGTGAGTAAGGGAGTATCCATTGTCGCCGCCTGAGTAAATAGTCTTCGCACACTCCTGTGTTATATTACATCTCGGTGGTCGTTTAGAGATATTTTCAATCTTGTGCTTTGCTAAACGTTCAATACAGTACTCTAAAATTCATTTAATGGTCATTAATTTTATGACATATTCGATCTTTACTTACAAATGATAAACGGCAGGCATCAAAAATTAGTGCTTTCATTAGAACTGTAAGAGCAAAATCAGCAAACCTCATATTAGGACTAGAGTAAACGGTATCAGGCTCCTGTTGTATATAAGGTCAAATATAAATTATACTATTAAATTTGCTTTTAAATAGTTCGCAGTATGTAATATGTTATGTATTTTTTTCTCATTTTCTAATTTTTTGCAGTAAACCCGATCAAAAAGTGCTATAAGATGTTTGTAACTAGCTCTGAAAACTTTATCACAAAATTTTATTACAATGTATTATATTTACAGTGATATGTCACTTTCCTGTCTTCGTACAAAAGCGTTCACATGTTCGGGTCCAAACGTAAATAAATAAATATTTTCAACCAAACTATAATAATATATGGTGGAGCTTGTTACTTAGCCATTTTTTATATATAATTTTCCTCAAAATTGTCATTTATTGAGCGCTATGTGTATAACACATTTGTATATAACAAGAATTGACATATAATTTAAACTTTACATTATTATAATACTTCAGTTGAAAATACTATAAGTTTATTAACACATTCACGCAAAAGTTTTTGTATATGTACAGAATCGAGACATTCCACGTTAATATAGACAAAAATCAAAACCACTCACGAAATAATTCAGGGGTAGGATCAAAATTGTTTTGCGAATCAACTTTTTGTGAATACGTCATATATTTTAAATACTTGTTTTCCAGGTCAAAAAAAGTGCGCAACGCCGGCTTAGGATTCGATTTAAAGGGCTGCATATTTGGTATCCATGTTGTGAAGTTGTTGAATAAATTATAAACTGAAATGTATAAGTATTAGTCTGAAAATATCAGCATTGCGTCATCACTTCCTATAGAGTGGAACAGTGACCATTTGGACTAAGAATTGTCATAAGGAGAACGACGGTGCGGTGTGTGTTACTTCGTCAGGAGGGAGGCGTTGCTCCTCCGTTTCGAGCAGCCGAATCATCGCGTATATAACCAGAAATAGAGACGAAATAAGGCAAATAGCCAACTTATCAGGCAAATAGGCCTTAATATCAACTGTCGTTTGCGTCATCGCACGACAAACGTCAACGTCACAAATTAACGGTACTTGAATATTAAATATGTAATTTTTCAATTTTCGTCCATTATAGCAAAACTCAAGTTAAACTGGTCCAATTGAAGTGAAAGAATTGACGACACCCGACAACATTTGTGTTTCGAATTGGGGCTGGCCAATCGGAGCGCAGTTGTCACAGTAATGATTTGGCAGAATAGTTTTCAAACAAATTAAATGCATTTCGTCTCTATTTCCAGTTAAATACTCGATAAGCCGAGTAGACCATCATTTAGCCGATACAAGTCCGGCGATAATCTCTCTGCAGCCCGCAGCGGAGACATACCCAGGTGGATTCCTCCACACAACAGAAAAATGCCCCGCGCAAGCATTCTCCCCAACATTTTCCCCATATAACCAAGACGGCATAACAGTGCCAAGGGAAAGTTGTTTTTGTATTGGTATATGAGTGGTAGTGGGAGAGCTGAAAATCATTCAGATACGGCCAGTCAAATTGCGATCATATTTTATTGTAATACGAATTCTGAAATTACTTTTACAATACCGCATTTAACGTTAATTACGCGTTAAATCTATACATATATACCTATGTCTGTTTTTTAAATAAAAACAACACAATTACTAATTTAGATGAAAGTAAACAAAACTTCACACACTTAGAAAAAATTCCTTCGATCCGGCTGGATACGAACCAACGTCTTCTAACAAACCCTGGCAGACGCTATGCCAATCAAGCGACGGAACAAAGCCGCGGACCTTACGAGTTTTTCTATACGTGCTTGTTGCAAATCTTTGTTTCTGGTTTTTAACGACTTTTTTACCGCAGCGCCATCTCTGAGAAATCTATTTCTTCTTTCGAATCCAGTTGGATCGAAGTTATTTTTTGTAACTGTTCGATCTTTGTATTAATAATTATAACAAACTAGTGGAGTAATTTCACAAAAAAATAATTGAATATCTGGTGGTGAAATATCCTGACATGCAATAAATTTAAAACCTCACCTAGTTTATCTTCTGGAGAGATATCGTCTTTATAGTTTTCCTCAATCATGATATAGTAAATATCGTCTATGTGATCAAGTTTTTTTATTATTCTATCAAGTTTAGATGCCTTGGCTTCAGGTATGTATTCTCTTCGTTTTTCCCTTAGATATTTTAAGTGCACTGGAAATATTTTACAAACACAAACAAGTTTTTAAATATATAGTCGTAAATTTCTACAAAGCTTGACGTTTAATTATAGAATCTTAACTTGATAACTCGCATGGACATGCTATGTAAATACACCTGAAATCGGATTTTCGAATCTAACTAACGCAAAAGGTTGCAAATGAAATATTTTCTGATTTAAAGTAACGCATATTTGTTTCTTTTTTTTTCAAAACAAACCAACACTTACAGTTCTATTCTAAACTATAGTCACTAGGGTGGTTTTCCTTAACAACCCTTGATGTAATAAGGCCACATCTGCAAAATTCTTATATATATGGTTTTACGAACAAAATAAGTCAGAAAGTAGTGGAATTACAAAATTTCACATATACTTAATTTGTTTCATGTAGACGCTAGCAGCAATAGAGGTCCTCGTGATAGAGTTCGTCTAGGTAAATACTGCCACCTATCCTATTTCTGCCGCCAAGCAGTAATGTGAGCGTTACTGAGTTCTGGTGCTGGTGAAAATACAGGCATTTGGGGCTTTGATAACTTTGTTTGAGAAAACGAATACATGTGATTTAATTTATCTATAATAAGTATAATAATTCATTTCTAATGTGCTGCAATCGCGAAAAACCTAATTACGTAATTTATAATATTTATGGTTAACTACGCGTAGATTTTATCGCATTCGTGTGTGTTCACTAAATGATTATAATAATAACAATAAACAATTTTATTTATCTACAATGAGTACAGTAATATACAAGTTTCTCCTTAAATAACATCGTGTATAGTAGATAAAAAGGTAAGTCTCTGTTAAAGCTGATTTTCAGACCCCCACCCTTTTGAAGAAACTCGCTACATTTGAAACAAGAGTTATGTGACGCATCTCAACCACTATCACTAATTACGGGTTTCATACCATGATATATTTCTTTTTTCCTCGATATTTCGATACGGTCATGCGGTTACACGCTCCATGGTCACGGGTTGGTTGACTGACAGTCAAAATAAAGAGAGAAAGGAAAATAAAAAGAAATCATATCGTGGTAAGAAACCTGCAATAAGTTATAATAATTTAATTACCAGAGTCTTACAATTTGCGACAAAAGCACCAAATACGAAACCAGGCTTAATTGCAGCACCTTTATCATCATCCGCTTGCTGTACGACACCAATCAAAGCATTTAAAAAGTCATCGAGGTCTTCTATGCCGACTAAGGTACTGCTCACAGGATTAATACTTTTTAAACTCAGAATTACAAGTACGGTTTTAATACATAAACTCATTTTAATGTTTCACATATTCCTCATTTGAAAAGTTTTGTTGTCCTTCGGCTAATTAAAAAAAAAATACTTTTGACAGGTAAAATGGTTGGATATTTAAGTATAGAACCCAGCAAAAGAAGAAATACACAGCAGTGTTGATATAATGTTTAATGGGGGACTAGAAACATCAAGTACCTTTATAACCAGAAATAGAGACGAAATGTCATTTAATTTATTTGAAAACTTTCTGCCAAATCATTACTGTGACAACTGTACTCCGATTGGCCAGCCATAATTCGAAACAATTGACGGGTGTTGTCAATTGTTTCACTTCAAATCGACCAGTTTAACTTGAGCTTTGTTATAATGGACGAGAAATTACATATTTACTTAATATTTAATTACCGATGAAATGTGATTCCGTTTGTTTAGTAATTAGATGTTTTGCTGTTTTTCCCACACCACCGAATGGAACAGCCCCCATTGGTAGAGATATTATCTTTATTACAATAAATACAGAATATTTTTGGAATATACGGAGACATACACACAGGTGAGTTGTTAGCGCTGTACTATTTCAGTTTTCTAATTTGTGATTTCAGCGCAAGCGAGAGTTGATATTTAGAAGTAATATAAGGTCCATTCGCCTGATGAGTAGCCAGGGATGGATGGCCCTTATTTCGTCTCTATTTCTGGTTATATACTTGATGCTAGTAAACAAAACATTTTCGGTACATAATTAAAATATCAAACATTGAACTCATGGTCAATGACCGAACTAGGTATATATGCAGTCAGACACAAACTATATTATTGAATACCAAAAAGTTACTTATTCAACGTTCAATTCAATTCAATTCAATTCAAAAATATATACATATATCTATGATTCAGATACGGAGGACTATTGGGTGGTTTACATATTTTGTTAAGTGACGAGAAGATAAAAATGGCGGATTTTTGTTTTAAAATTTTTAGTTTAAGCACATTACGTCTTTAGTGTCTTAATTATTTGTTATATTTTTAGGTGAAGGCGTTATTGCCAAAGCTAAATAAATAATAAGTAAGTACATTATAAGTTTGAACTTTGGTAGCAGTAGAGCTCCTTGTGAAAGAATTCGTCCAGTTCAGACCTACCTTATCTATTTCTGCCGCCAAGCAGTAATGTGAGCATTACCGATGAATACCTCAAAGGAATGGAAAACCTTGCAGGCGGCGTTTCCCGAAAGCTAGCCCGTCATTTGATATCATAAGCGCCCAGTTACACGACGCGGTAGTTAACCGTCCGGCTACTACGCTTTCACGTACATTAATGGCGACTCTGAATTCTATTTACTAGGCAATTTATATATAAAACGCGCGGCCACCGCATAAAGCAAAGACAAGCCTAATGGCTTGAAGTTGACATTTGTTTGCTTATTTAAGTTAAAATGTAAATGCTAAATAAGTGGAGCATATTTTACTATAACATTTCGATCTCCAAACAGGTGCACACGAAGATGTTCGTGTCAAATAAACGCTCACTACGAAAAATTTAATTTTAATTAGTCTTAACGTTTGTTAAATAGGTCTAAGTACTTTGACATTTGTATTCTGACTTCCTATGTGGCCAAAAGGTTACCATACTTGTTGGCCACGCAGAGGTTCGGCTTCGATTCCCGGGCCGGGAGATATATTTGTATGGCCTACATTTATATCTCTCGTAAGCCTGGGTGTAGTTCGTGTTTGTCTATCTGAGTGTCCAAGGCACAAGCGACAAAGAGTCTTCCTAGCGCAGGACTATGAGTGTGTGCGTTATTTATTTCTTATTTATATTTTTGTTTCGTTAACAAAACTTCAGCCCACCAAATGTCTCAAGCTTCAGACCACGCCAACCGAGGAATGTGCCTGGTGAGAGAGGGTTGGCTACATAGCCAAAAAATAGATTTGATTCTAATCTACTTGTCCACCAAACCAATGATTACTTAATAAGTGATTGTTTAGATTACACACATAAATTAAGTAATTTATTCATTCAAAAACTAAATTAATTATTAGTTTCGTTAGGTAGCCTTACTGGCTATCAATCTCGATGCATTTCCGCGTCACGGGAAAAATATTGGGACACAGAGCTGTCTCGAAAATCCCGAGAAAAACGAGACTTCTTAATTAAGTTCTATATTAACTCAAATAATAATACCAAAATTTTTTTGTTATTAATAAAAGTTATTTCTTTCATTTTTGTAGTTGTTACGTAAGAAACAGAGGCCATTTACAATTAAGATACTGATTTTAGTATAGTAAGTATCAAAAGTCTCGATTTTCCCGAGACCGAAAACATCAATCTCGAATCTCAAATATGCCAAAAAATTGTCGAGTCTCGAATTTTTCTAGACCGAGATTCCCGGGATGAGAGCCCTAATAAACAAAAATATAAAACAGCAACAGGCTTCGTTACATAAAAATCGAAATGTAATTCGCCAGATTTAGTTATTTTTATTTAACTATATATAGTTAATCACGTAGTTTAATTGGTGTAAACTGGATTTTTTATGATACTGACGGGAGCAACAAGTCGTGCGCCTGGTGGTAAGCGCCAAGCCTGTTCATAACAGTTGCAGTGCGACTCAAATCTTTAAATCGCAAAGATCTTTGGGGCACTGGCACTGCGCCGGTCACCCTGACACATAAGTAGAAAAGTCTCATGTGAGTCATGTGCCTGTAATTTCACCAGCACCCTTACCCTTCAAAATCGGAACACAGTAATGTGAACACATTACTGCTTGGCGGCAGAAATAGGTAAGGTGGCAGTACTACCCGGGACCAACTCTTTCACAAGGACCTCTGCTGCTTCGACTATATACTATATTAATAGCTAAATGAGTACATAGCCCTAGGTGATACTGAATTCTATGGACTTAAGTTTGGAATTACATGAAATAATAAGAAAGAGATACCCTTCAATATTTATTTAAATATATCGTTGTAAATTCGTGGTAGCTTAATGGTTTGACCTACTGTCTCTCAAGCAGAAGCCGTGGGTTCGAATTCGGGCTCGCACCTCTTAAGTTTTTT